CGGTTTGAGATGATAAAGGTTGTTTTAGGCCACCATGCTTTGGGGTAACAATAGATACACAACAATAGATAACTAATACAGACCTTTTTTCTATGTACAAGACAGACATGGTTTTGGCCACCATGGAGGTTACATTCCAGTGGAGCATAGAAATGAGTAAGCCAATAACTACAATACAATGTGAAAAGTGCTCTGGGGAAAGCATAGGGTGTGATGGGAGGATACAGGAAGGATATTGGATGTGGTGGTGGTCAGGAGGACTACTACAGTCAGTAATGTCTAAGTTGCATCTGGAAAGATGAGCAGAAGTAGAGAAGGGTATTTCAGGAGAAGGAATGGCATGTGAAAAGGCCTGAAGGTGAGGGATGGCAAGTAGGGGCAGGGGCTGGAAAGGGGCCAGATGATATTGGCCTTTGGGCTCTGTGATAAAGGAATTTGGACTTTGAAGGGTTTTAGGCAGGATGGATAAGACTTTCATTGTGGAACTATCAATCAGGCTATGCATTGGAGTAGGACTAAAAACAAAAGAGATGCCTATTTCTATTATTTGTCCTATGATGATAGCATATTACATTACCAGATACATGCAGACTTATTTTTTTTTAAAAAAGAAGTCATTCTGAATATACTTGCTTTACTTAAAATAACTTTAGGTTGTAAAGATTTTCTCATATTACTGTTAAATGCAGTCTCATATGTGGCATAGAGTATTTGAATGTACCACAATTGATTTAACCACTCTCCTATTGGATGGTTAGATTATTTTTTATTTTTCACAGTTATAAATAATACTAGGGTAAATGTGAGAGGGTCTCTAAGAATCTAGTATGGTGAGTTTTGTTTTCTGGTGGTTTTGAGTAAGGAGTCGAAGGGCGTGTAGGGACAGGAGTATGTTGAAGAGGCGGTAAATTGTGCCCTAACTACCCAGTGTATTGGTGACATCATCCCCGCTATTTTCTGAGACATTCCTGCTTTGGAACATTCCACTTCATTGGGGCCATATATCCTGAGTTTTTGTTTGGAAAACATTATCACTCCTCCATGCCATGAACTTCACGCTTCAGCAACATGGACTTGCTTTTCACATCCCACACCTGCTATGCTGTTCTCACTTCATTTGCTTAGGCTGACCCCTGTGCCTGGAATGCCTCCCTATCCACTTTATCTGTCTACCTTCTTTTCACCATTTTTTTGACTCATCTGAGACATCTCCTCCAGCAGATTTTCCTAATCTTGTTCAACCCCAGACTGGGTTAGGATCTCCATGCATCCATCGTGTCCCGTGCTTACTTCTTTCAATGAACTCAGCATGTTATGGCTCTTGCCCATCCAGCCATGAGGTCCTCAAGAGCAGATGATTATGGATTTCAAAAACAGAACAAACTTTTACTTTATATGATGACTGAATACTTTGGGCATTGAGCAAAATTTTAGTGCAAGGGTAAATGAATCAATGAGCCCCAGTGGAAAAGGTGAGTAGTGGGATTGCCCTAAGGCTGGGGTTTTGCTACACAAAGCTACCCTATCTGGGCAAGGAAATTGAAATTGCCAAGAGAGTTGAAGTGGTGGAGCATGGGGTGTGTACTGGTCAGGAAGGAAGTGAAGACAGGAAGGGCTGTCAGAATGAATGCAGAGGAATCAAGAACCAGAGCACTCTGTGAATTTGAAGGACGGGTGTGGTATCAAAAATGCCAGGGCTGGGCCCATAGGTAGTGGTACCTGATGCTGATGAGATGAAGCAACTGGACCACGATCCTGCAGCTGGCAACCGAGGAACTCTCAAGTGAAAATACAATCCCCTCTGGGTGCCACCCCCATGCTCTATCTACTGCATCATGCTGTCTATAGGGGCGGGGGGCTTTCCAGGATAGAGACACAACCAGGAGACTTGATTAGCACCCATCATGAGTGGCACCCGGGCATTTTGAGGGCACTGGTGTCTACAAGTATCTTCAGAGGTACTTTTCATTGTAGGCCACTTCTGCTCGAAGTGAAAGCCACTTCAGTGCTTTTCAATGCTTAAGCATTGAAAGTCAGTTTTTTTTTTTTTAATGTTCTTGACTCAGGTCAAGATCAGAGCTAACAGACCTTGTAATGGGCCAAATCAAAGTCATGATCAAATGGCGAATTGGTGTAAACATTAGGACCTCTTGCCACTGAAAGATTGTTGTTCTCTTTTTAATTGCATAAAACTAGGCAGTTTTCTCTATTCTTTTGCTTTCCCCTTTCCCATTCCTTCATTGGACATAAAGTAACTGTATATGTGCACAAACATATTGCATTTTTAAAAACTAGATGGCTGAGGGTATGTTTTGATTGACATCAGACGGAGATGGGCTGGTGGAAAATGCTGGTTCTGTGAGAATACCCCCTTTCTCCATTCTTGGCATGCTCATTCAGCTCTTATCTTTATATTCCAGTAAGTTGTTTTGCTCTCACTGCTTAACAAAGAAAAAATGACATAAAAATCCTTGCATACCTTGTTTGATTGGAGAATTTTAATGTTTTTCATTTATCATTGTAAAACCAAGGACAATTTCATAACTTTTTTGTACATAGCTATTACAAGGAGGGTGATCTGTCTTTAAGTAGGGATAAATTACTCTAAAAGAAATGAATCCTAGATAGTTTTCCCTTCAAGTCAAGTATCTTGTTGTTTAAATTAACTTCTTGTTTAAAAAAATAAAAACTGACTTGTAAGATATATCCTGAATCTGTCTGCTCCTCGGTAGCCATGACTCCCACTCTTGTCCATACCATCATCTCCTTCCCCTGAAGCTACAGGAGCCTCCTCAGTGGTCTTCCTGCTTCCAGTGGGCCCCTTCCAGCCCATTCTCTGCATATAACCGAAGTGATTGCTCTAAAAGCAAAATCAGGCATACCCCTCTCCTACTTTTAATTCTCCAGCGGCTTCTCATTACACTTGGAGCAAGAGCGGCACTCCCTCCTATAGCCCCTGTGGTCCTCTGAGACCGTGTCCCTGCCTCTCACTCCTAGCCCACTTCTGCTCCCCCATCTCGCCTGTGTGTTTCTGGGACAGACCAAGTTCTTTCCCACCCTATGGTCTTTGCTCTGGCCTATCTTTGCATGCCCTGCTTCTCCCCATCATTCAGAGTCTCCATGACCACAGAATCTAAAGCCCACTCCACTCCCTCCCTCAGCTGCTTTTGCACAAACCTGCTCTATTTACCTGAGAGTGCTAACCACAAGGAGAACCTATGTGATTTATTTACTCGTTCACATATTTGTTGTCTGTCTTTCCCTGTAAGGATGTCAACTCTGTGGGAGTAGCTTGCTGTCTGCTTTGTTTGAGTCTACATCAGCAGCACTGAGAACAGTGCTAGGCACATAGTAGGTGCTCAGTAAAGATTTGCTGATGGAATAAAGATCAACCAGCAACGAAAGTGAAGCATGTTTAAATAAAAATGTAAGTCAATGGGGGAAGAGGTGAGTCAAACATTTGTGTTACATGCAACAACATATTTTTAATTTATTGGCCCATAGAGGAAACCTACCTTCTCTTGCCATAAAATCAAACTTAAAAGAAAAATTCATTAAAAAGATTTAAAGGCTTGATTCAGGATGGGAAGAACTTGTCTGTGTCTCCAGTCAGGTTTCCATCAGGGAAATTAGAGGGGAATTGAGGTAACATTTGGTGCTGGCCTATCAGGGGCTAAGGCTGTGCTGGGCTCATGAAAATCATAATAAGTGGCACTTATTGTGGGCTTACACGGTCATACCTTCCTTAGCCCACATGTGACATCCCTTATGTTAATTAATCCTCACAATGACTCTACAAAGTTGGAACTGCCATGGACTTCATTGTACAGAAGAGGAACCGGGTCCCAAGAGAGAACTTGCCTGAAGTTTCAATCCCATTCTCTTTGACTTTGAAGCTTGTTACCATATAACCTTATATATGACACACACAGCTACCATTAAGTATGTGTTCACAAGGGCAAGGCCCAGGCTTTAGGTAAAGCTATGTTCATCAATCAGGATCAGAATCCAAAGTCTTTGCTTCTCACCTTGGGCCATATAGCCTACGGAATAGCTTTGGCCATCTTCTACTTTTAGTTTTCTGGTTTGTTCTCCTGGGAGCATATGTCAAAAGAACTGTGTGATTGATTCATCTGTTCCTGGCAAACCAAAGGACTGGGAAATTTTTGCTGACTCATGGAGTGTGATGTTTGATGCTTTGCATTGGAATCTATATGCCATTTGCAAGGATACCTCAAATGTTTATTGCAAACACACTAATTGTCTGATATTCGCAGTATAGGATTTTTTTGTGGGTCCTGGTGTCAGGCAGAACTAGGTTCGAATCCTGGCTCTGTCACTTATTAACTGTGAGACAATGCTCTTTGAAGGCCCCCTTTAGGTGTGTGTCTGTGTGCATACACGTGCGGAAAGCAGAAGTTGCCTACCTCGTAGCTTGTTATTGACTGTGGTCATGCCCTCCACAAGGTGCCTATAATTAGCCCTCAGTAATCATTAGCTGATTGGTGATATTTTTATTATCATTATTACGTTTAACTTAAGGCCTGTCCAGACTGCAGAAGAGGAATGGGGACACAATGATGGGTGGGTATTTATGGTCCGACTACATAGGGGAGCTTTAGATTAATAAGACCAAATATCCCAACTGCTATCTATAAAATGGCAATGATAATAACCTCTCATGGGCATAAGATGTAAATAAAAACACCTGTAAGGATGATGTTAATAATGTCTAATATTTATTAAACCCTTAACATGTTCTGGGCATTGTTCTAAGAATTTAGGTTATATTAACTCAGTAAAATCACACAGCAAACACTCTGAAGGAGCTGTTGTCATGATCTCTGTTTTAAAGATAAGGGACTGGAGGTAAGTGTGTGTCTGGGGTATCATAGGGATTAATTAAATATTTATTCCATGTGGAGATCTTTCAGGGTAAGAAACTTTTATTATTGCCAGAGCGCAGCCTGCTACCCGGTATGCAATAGGTGCTCAGTAAATTTTTTTTTTTTGAATATAAAACTATTTATTGACCACTGTTTACCAGTATTTACAATAAAGTAAACAATATACAGTTGGATAACATTCTGACTACAAAGTTATTGTTTTTCCTGGTTTCTGCTGAACCAGTAACTCAAATACTGAGAAGACTGAGCCTACATGTCAGGAACGAGTTGGGATAAAGAAAATACATGCAGGTTAAGAATTTGGATTATAAAAGTCTGTCCACCCATTTATTCCAGCAGGAGCTAAATTGCCAACATCTCTAACCATCTGATTATGATTAGGTTTCCATGAACAAAGTCTTAGACATTCCATGAATCATGACCTTTTAGTCAATACAGCACAGAGATTTCAACTTCTTGAAAAGGAATGGTTCACTAGAAGGAACCTTTAAATGTCCATTTAACTAAGTTTTGCTTACCTAATTAAAACACACCAGGACTTGTCTAGTTTTGTCATTTGGGTGGGGAGGTTGTTGGTGGTGATAAAATTTTCCTTTTAGGGAACTTGCAAATGAACTTGCATTTATGACTGTAGATATGAATATGGATTCAGATATTGCTGCTTTTAAATTGTCCAATTTAAAAATTTGAAAGGTTAAGGCTTCAGGAAAAACTTGTTTAACTTTAAGTGATTTCTTAAGTTGCTGAAAATGATAGCATCCCAGAAACATGGGCTTATCCATGGTTATAAATGCTGTTTTTGTTTTGGTGAATGTTAAAAAAATAAAAACCATTTTTGTATGTATTTTAAGTATACACACAAAAACCCCCTAAATAAACAAAAGACCCAGAATGGTCCTCAGGCATATAGGAGTTAAACACAAATTCTGACTGAGTAACGACTATGAAATTTCCCCCAACATTTAGAAAAGGTGTTCTCTAATGCAGGGGGATAATATACCATGGTCTCAAATATTTTTTTCTGATAAAGGAAGCAACTACAGAAAGCTTTTATTTGTTCAAAGTAACCAGTGCTATAGATGCAAAAAAACCCCAACAACTCCCCCAATACTACTTCAAAACAAACGTATCAAACGTGATTTTCATTAGAATGTTATTTCTTCACACTAATAAATCAAAAAACAAAGACCCAGATTTTATATATATATATATAAAGCAACGCAAACAATTATTGAGCTTCATCTTCTGGACAAGAATGCCAAGTTAGTCTCTCTTCATAAAAAGCAATTCCAATCTGAGGACACTTCATATTTGCCTCTTTTGCCAGCACCAAGTCTGCCTCATCTGAATCTTTCCATTTCATGAGAAACATTAATTCTCTACTGCTGTCTGTAGCACCAATTATTCGTTCAGGATCAAGACCTCTGGCAAAGCCTCTTGGTTTACCAGCAGCGTCTCTTTTCCTCTTTGATTTGCTATCATCAGATTCACTGTCAGATAAAGATTTTCTTTTTTGTACCATCTTTTTCTTTACCAGCTTTTTGAGAATTAAGAAATGCTTCAATTAACTCTGGACAATCTAAATTTTCTTCAGGTTCCCAAGTATTGTCAGCATCTGTAAATCCCTTCCACTTCAGGAAATACTCCACCTTCCCATTCACTCCACGGCGGTCCAGTACTTTTTCCACCACAAATTCTTCAGGCTCTGCCTCTTCTACTTTCTTACTCTTTCCATTTTGTTTCTTTCCCATTTTTTGCAATGTAGTTTTATTGGAGGCCATTTTTTATTGCAGACTTGAAGAGCTATTATTCACCGCCTCCGAGCTGCGCCGGGTCCCGGGTCTGCGGCGTCTCCGGCCCTGCGCGCCTCAAGCTCCAGCCACCGCTCAGTAAATTTTTATTGTTGAGTCAATGAGATAGATCAGAGCTTGATCTATCCTGTGAGGGCCCCATAGTAAATATGTTGGGCTTTGTGTTCCATATAGTCTCTGTTGAAACTTCTCAAAATTTCTGTTGTTGGGCACAAGCCGCCATAGATAGTCTGGAAATGCATGAGTGTGGCTGTGTTCTGATGAAACTATTTCCAAAAACTGGTGGTAGGATAGATTTGCCCAGTCCTCATATAGATGCTGACGCCGATAGATGGTACCACTTATTTAAATGCATACTCTTGGCTAGGAACAGTTCTAAGTACTTTTAGGCATCATCTCCTGAGATATGGACAAGGAAAGTGTGTTCATCATCAAGTTTAAATATCTTTTCCAAGTCTGAAAGATGACAGAGCCCTGAATAAGGAGATAATGTTAAAGATTTTGAACATTTTCCAGATGAGTGTATGAATTAAGTCTAGATCCTTAAAACTCAATGTCTAGTCCACGGGCCAATGGCATTAGCATCATCTGGGAGCTTGTTAAAAATGCAGACCATCAGGGTCCTCCCCAGACTTCCTAAATCAGAATCTATATTTTCACAAGACTCTTAAGTGATTCTCACATGTATTAAAATCTGAGAAGCAAAACAAAACAAAGCAAAAGACCAAACAGTGTTTAGCACCCTGAAATTTTTAGCTGTTGTGAATAATTTGGCTAATAATAATAATAAGGTTAAGCTTTTCATTCATCTTGTGGCTGTGAACCTATTGATAGCATGTTGCTGGAGAACAAGAGAGGCAGGAACACCTCTCACATGAGGAAAGATAAGTATAATTGCCAAACGGAAGCTTTATTGTCTAATAACCTTTGGAGGCTACTTGGAAAATGCAGCCAATGATTTAATAATTTTTAACATAAAGGCATTCAGAATATACGTGAGTGGGTAGTTTCACCAACTGGAGTTAGAATTCAGTTGTCTGTACAGAGATTAAAACCCAGTTTGAAAATTTTCAGAAGCTCGCAGTCGGAGCCAAGAAGACCAATGTTCCATTTGGCTTCTTTCTTGTGACAGGACCAGGCACAGTAGCCCCTGCAACAGCTTCTCCTAACTGTGGCTTTAATCTGATTGACAATCAAATCAGCACACAAAGGGCAGTGAGGAATCACTCTGCTAACAAGCTCCTTGCCCTCCAGTCTCTGGAAGAATGTTGACTGACAGGGACACAATTAAAAGGGGATTGATTTATTGAGCTGGAATGCTCTGGCCCCCCTAATCTCAGCATCTCTCTGCTTGCAATCACCATTCCCAAACAAGAGTCAGCCTACACAAACGAAACCCTCGTGATCACCAGGGAGCCAAAGATGCTCTTAGTTTACCAAAGGTAGCTCAGCCCTAGAAACCCATAAAGAAAAACCACATAAAAGAAGTCCTTTCTTGCACCAGGGTCTGGATAAGGATCTGGAATTCAGCAGGGAAGGATGATCTAAACAAAAAGCAAGCAATGGTAATGAAAACTGCTAACCTTGGCTCTGGGTGGGGGGTGGGGGGGAATGGGTTGAGAAGAGTAAATGGGCAAGGAGCCCTCTTTTTGTCTTTTACATAATGAAACTGTAAATTTCTGTTGGAAATCACAGGGTCACCGAGTATCTGGAATGTTGATGGGGATGCCGGTGGGATTCAAGGGAAGAAAAATCTGTGGATTTGAATTCAACGCTTCCTTTGAACTGTTTCATCGAACTGATGTAGTTGAATCCAGCAATGTGTATGCAAATAATTATTTATAATTGTTGGGATCGGGGGGGCACCCCAGCATTAGCACCTCTCTTGTTCACCAGTTATGAACTGATGAAGAAGTAAAACAGAAGACTTGGCATCTGGGGAATCGAACAGCAGTACCATCTTTGTTACTCATAAAATAGAAAACGTAGACTGGTAGATTTTTCGCTACTGAGCCTTCAACCTAAAAAGACTTACCTTCCCAAGTTATTGCAGCTCTGAACGGGCCCTTGAGAAACGTCTTGTACGGAGCGGCAGAGCCTAACACGCTCCCTGCAGACATGCTCACTCCCAAGAGAAGGAGAAAAGAAAGGAGCTCTGGCAGCCCGTGCCTGATTTCTCTTTCCAAACTCACCAGAATACAAATATCACTTTCTCCCCTGGGGGTCATGAATGAGGAGACAGAGAGAAATCAGGAGTGAAGTGGGATCTTTCCCACATGGAAGCAGTCATCATCTGTGAGGAAGAAGCACCCTCCACTCCTCCACAAATGAAATAATTAACAGAAATAATAATACTAATAATGGCAAGAGTTACAGTTTATGAAGCATTTACCCTGCTCAGGCTTTGGGCAGAACACTCTACCTCATCTCATCCTCACGACAACTCATCGAGATCGCTTTCTATTGTCTCCGTGCAACACAGGACAGAACAGAGTCTACAGAGAGGTTGTGGCACCTCTCCGCAAGCTCACAGAGAGCGCAGAGAACTACGGGACAAGCCCAGCTTTCCCTGGCTCTGGAGCCTGCGATAGGAAGCTGTTTTTAGCTGTTCTATGTGTGGAATGAACGAAGGGAATGAAGGGATGAGTGAATGAGATGAAATTTGAGGGACACCTGTTGGGAAGCTTGGCTAGTATGGAACAATCTGTGCAATGCTGTAGGTCCGGCCCGAAAGGGCCCCGCAGGTGAGCTGTGGAGCTGGTCCGGCTGCCCCAGGCGCCTGGTGTCAGGATGTGCTGGGCAGAGAGCTCCGGGCGTCTGCTTGTCCACTAGGCCAGCACCATGTCCCCTTGGTTTGGTCTTCAATTTTATTCTAGATTGCCAGCTGATCTGCTCCAACTGGCATTCCAGATGGCCAGTGGCCTAAATGCCACTGGCCAGAAGAGCAGTTGGACAAAGCCCCCCTCCTCAAAGGGAGTGGGCTAACCCATCTCTGCCCGAGTAGAAGTCCCACTCACGGACGAGGCAAAGGCCTGGCCCCCAGAGGCTGATATTCAGCTTCCCCTCTCCTGGTGGGAATTTGACGGTCTTCTGTGCATCTGGCCACCACATTTCCAGACACCCCCTCGCCATGGGGTATTATCAGAAACAGAGCCCCCATACCTCGTTCTTCCCCACTAGCCCTTCACACCTCGAGATTTATCTTGAATCCTTGGAGTGGCCCTAGCTCTCTACCGGTGTGTCATCCCTCCAGGAGAGGACCCGGTTATCTGTTTCCTGCTCATCAGCCTGGCCACCTCATTCACGGTCATGCCGGACCTGGTCCCGGTTTCTGTTATCTTCATCTCTTTCTCTGGAAACTTCTGTCACTTCCAATTTTCCCCAGTTTTCTCCCCTACCTCAGCCTTTTTTTTCCTCAGGCCTCCTTCACCTTCTCAGCTTTCTTTTCAAAGATGTTGCATTTCTTTTTCTCCTTATTTGGTCCAATGTGACCTGACAGGGTGGAAGCAGCATATTGGGGATAGAAATATGTACTGGTTTTTGACAGATTTTTTTTTTTAAATGGGGCATTTGCAATCAATTTATGTAGTTTAGCCAAAAGGTTAAGAATTTTCCATTTAAGAATTAACCTCTCTAAATGAAAAATTTGGGTGCTTGCTTTTTTTTTTCTTTTCTCATTGTAGTCAGGTCTCCACATGCCCCCATGCATAGAGGCTGTTCTGGAAAGTGCTTCCTGAGGAATGCCTGTCAAGCGTGCACTGCTTCTACTCATGCCTTAGGAACGCTGATTTCATGGACAGTGGGGAGCATGTGGTTCTTTTGTCTTTTTTAGGATTCTCTCTCAGAGAAGGGATGTCAAAATGAGGTGTTGCTGATGGTGCCACACGTGGAGATGAAACTAGGATGGTGTCAGGTCAGGGTTCATTTGTACTTGAACCCCTCCAGGATCAGTCTCTATGGAAATAAATGTTCACAGAACAAAAGGAGACCAAGCAACACTGAATTATTTGCTGAGACCCTGACTCTAAACCTAGTTGCAAACCTTAGTAGATCCAGGCTCTTCTCCATAGACATTTCCTTTTCTTAAGCTAAGGGGTCCCAAGGAGTTTGGAGTGGGTGCCATTCCTATTCCCACCCAGATCCCTGTTACCAGGCTGGTGTACCCATACTTCAGTGGTTCTGGGTATTGCCTGCTAAGATTCTGACATGAGAGTTCCTATTGGGTAAGACCCATGTTTGTTGAAAACGTGTCTCGGTACCTTGTCTTCAGCAGCAGATGCTGAACCAGGAGGGCTGAGGCAGGTGGGGCACTTGATATAACACAAGGAGATGACTGGTTGTAACAGGGGGATAGCAGAAGGGCAAACAAGGACGTGGTGGAAAACTACCTGCCCCACACAGTGTTTCCTCTCCCTGGGGTTTTCCAGATCTTTAGTAAAGATGACATTCTAGAGGCAAGAGGCATTTTTGTGGAACCAGGGAAGGTGCTCGCTCGTGGATCCATGGCATCCCAGGTGACCCAGGAGTGGGTGGGCCAAAGTAGCATGAAAAGCTCACCTGTCAGTAACTTGTAGAAATTGTGGAGGGATGCCTGGGTGGTCTAGTTGGTTAAGCGTCTGCCTTCGGCTCGGGTCATGATCTCGGGGTCCTGGGATTGAGCCCCGCATAGGGCTCTCTGCTCAGCGGGGAGCCTGCTTCTCCTTCTCTCTCTGTCTGCCCCTCTGCCTACTTGTGCCCTCTCCGTCAAATAAATAAATAAATTAAATCCTTAAAAAAAAAAGGAATTGTGCGGAGGGTTTGGAATCCATGAAAGGCATGGAGTGTGGTTTCTGGCTAGTTCAGGGCCATTTTTGGTGAGGTGCTTGAAGGGGATAAATTTCTTATCCTGTCTCAGAGATTCTTGGGGGCAGAGCCCTAAAATCCTTCTTTTTGGTGTCTCTAATTCAATGTTGATGCACCAATTATTGATTTAAACTGAGATATACAGAAGTAGGGGGTGACTTCTTTGCAGAGGAGTGGGTCTTACAGGCCATTTTGTTTCTTGTACTTGGAATGACATAATATGC